TCCTCAAGGATCTAGAACTAGACATACCATTTGACCCAGCAATCCCATTACTGGGTATATACCCAAAGGATTATAAATCATTCTACTCTAAAGACATATGCACACATATATTTATTGTGGCACTGTTCACAATAGCAAAGACTTGGAATCAACCCAAATGATGATCAGTGATAGACTGGATAAAGAAAACGTGACACATAACACAGAATACCATGCAGCCATAAAAAAGGATGAGTTCATGTCCTTTGCAGGGACATGGATGAAGCTGGAAAACTTCATTCTCAGCAAACTAACACAAGAACAGAAAACAAAACACCACATGTTTTCACTCATAAGTGGAGTTGAACAGTGAGAACACATGGACACAGGGAGGGGAACATCACACACTGGGGCCTGTTGGGGGCGGTGGGGGGCTAGGGGAGTGACAGTATTAGGAGAAATACCTAATGTAGACGACGAGTTGATGGGTGCAGCAAAGCACTATTGCACATGTATACCTATGTAACAAACCTGCATGTTCTACACTTGTATCCCAGAACTTAAAGTATGATAAAAATAAATAAATAAACAAAAAATCTAAAATTCATATGGAGCCCCCCAAAAATGCCCAAGTAACCAAAGCAATTCTAAGCAAAAAGAACAAAGCTGGAGGGACCCCTTTTCCAGGCTTCAAATTATATTAAAAGCCTCTAGGAACTAAAAACACATGGTATTGGCATAAAAATAGACACATAAGTCAATGGAACAGAATAGAGAACACAGAAAAAGAGCTACATATTTACAGCCAATTGATCTTTGACAGATTTGATGAGAACACACGCTGGGGAAAGGACACATTGTTGAATAAATGGTACTTGGAAAATTAGATAGCCATTTGCAGAAGAATGAAACTGGACCCCTATCTCTCAACAGTAACACAAATTAACTCAAAATGGATTAAAGACCTAAACATAAAAGGTAAAACAATAAAAATCCTAGAATAATACCTAGAAAAAACTCTACTAGACATTGGCCTAAGCAAAGAATTTATGACCAAGTCCTCACAAGCAAATACAACAAAAACAAAAACAGACAAATGTGACTATATTAAACTAAAACTCTTCTGCCCAGCAAAGGAAATAATCAACAGAATAAAGACACAGTCTGCAGGATGGGTTAAAATATTTGCAAACTATTCATGTGACAAAGGTCTAATATCCAGAATATATAAGGAATTCAAACAACTGAACAACAACTAAAACAATGAATGATATCATTAATAAGTGACCAAAGGATATGCATAGATATTTTTCAAAAGAAGACACACAGGTATATGAAATAATATTCAGCATCAATAATCATCAGGGAAATGCAAATTAAAATCACAATGTTATATCATCTTGACCCAGTCAGAATAGCTATTATTACGCACTTTGGGAGGCTGAGGCAGGTGTATCACCTGATGTCAGGAGTTTGAGACGAGCCTGCCCAACATGGAAAAACCCCATCTGTACTAAAAAATACAAAAATTAGCCAGGCATGGTAGCACGTACCTGTGGTCCCAGCTACTCGGGAGGCTGAGGGAGAAGAATCGCTTGACCCCGGAGGCAAAAGTTACAATGAGACAAGATCACCCCAACTGCACTTCAGCCTGGAAGACAAAGTGAGACTCTGTCTCAAAAAAATAAAAATAAATTTAAAAATAACAGATTTCGGCAAGAACGCAGGGATGAGGGAACTCATATACTGTTGGTGGGAATGTAAATTACTAAAACCTCTATGGAAAACACTATGGAGATTTCTCAAAGAACTGAAGATAGAACTGCTATTTCATCCAGCAATCCCGCTATTGGGTATCTACCCAAAGGAAAAGAAATCTATATATCAAGAAGATACCTGCACTCATATGTTTATTACTGCTCTATTCACAATAACTAAGGTATGGAATAAACCTAAGTGTCCATCAACAGCTGATTGGAGAAATAAAATGTGGCATATATACACAATGGAACACTATTCAGCCATAAAAAAGAATGAAATCACATTTTTGGTAGCAACATGGATGACACTGAAGGCTTTAGTGAAACGAGTCAGACACAGAAAGACAAATATCACATATGCTCACTTACAAGTGGGAGCTATTAATAAATAATGTATACCAATGGGTATCAGGTATGGAATGATACACAATGGAGACTCAGAAGGGTGAGGGGGTTGGAATGAGTGGATGATGAGAAATCACTTAATGATTATGATGTACATTATTAGGGTGATACCTTAAAATCCCTGACTTCACCGCTATGAAATCTATGCATGTAACAAAATTGTACTTGTACCGAATACGTTTCTACAAATAAAAAGAGATGCCTGATAATAAGACACTAAGTGACCATAAAAATACACACTAGGCCCATTAACATGAGCTGATGGGTTTGTCAGCTGGTCAGAATCTTAGCATAAATCAAGTTGAAAGGTTAGTGAAAGGAAGTCTGGGAAATGTGTTAATATAACTTTCAGAATGAGCACAAAGTATGACACAGTCATGAATTATTTACATCATTATACAAAGTTGCCTTTTGGAGAGGACGCTTTCTATGGTCGAATGGACAACGTGCCCCATCCTGTGAGTGTCAGCCACTTTTTGAGTAACTCCGGTGCTTGTTTAATGGACTCACGTACAAAACAGCCATGGTAATGAGCTGGAGGTTATGCATGAGGTCAACAAAATGGATTTTCTCTTCCCACAGCTTCTCTGCCTGCTGAAACCACTCATTGCCCAAATGTCAATGATAGTGATGATGCATTAAGTCCCAGATTGGCACGCATTCTCTACTGATTGATTATACTGGACCTCTTCCACCATAGGGAGACAAGAGCTTTTTTTCCCACTGGATTGGACAATTATCCTATATACGAATATGCCTTCCTTGGCTGCAGTGCTTCTGCCAGCATCATCAAGCACAGACATATGACAACATTTGTATTGTCATTATGCTGTTCTGTGCAAAGTGGTTTCTGATCAAGGAACTAATTTTACCACAAAAAAAGTACAATGAAGAACTCCTACTTAGGGAATTGACCAATATTACTATATATATATTTTTTTCTTTACATAGAAGCAGCTGCCTATCTAGATCATTGGAATATCCTACTAAAAACATGTTGCTACTTGAAAAGCAACATCTGCAAAGCTGAAAATACCCCATAAAATGCAGTCCTTTATTTGAATCAATGATTATATGTGGTGCTTTTTAGTTTTGTGACCAAAATGCATAATTTCAAGACTAGAGAGATAAAAGTGGGAGTGGTTTCTTTTACTATCATATTCAACTATCTATTTATTATATACTCTTGTTTCTCACTCCCATGAGTCTGAGGTCTGTCAGTCTAAAAGGCTTCCCAAGAAACGAGTGACTTCACGTAAGTAGGCAACACTGTCACGTAAGTAGGCAACACTGTCCTGGTGACATGGAAGTTGAGACTGCCACCTGGACAAGTTAGGCTCCCAGTGCCACTGAATCAACCGGTCAATAAAAAGGAATTGATTCTAGCTATCAAGGGGAAATAAACACCATCAAGGAAGAAAGAATTATGCCTAAAAACCAAGGAGTTCTCTGAGAAACATCTAATTACTTCAAGTTCAGTAGTAATTAATTAAAGATCACAGGAATGCAATGAAGGCAGGGTCACTAAAGACTCAGACGCTTTAGGAATTAAGATTTGAGTCTTCCCACCAGATAAAAAACAATCCCAACATAGGAATGGCTGAGGGAAAAGGGAATCTGGAGCAGGAAGTATTAAGTGTAACTACTATTTACAGCTTACTGAAAAGAGGACTGTAGCAGCTATGCCTATTTTCCCTCTTGTTGAGGAGGAATTACAAGCATCCTCCACATAATCTCTTCTTGGGGGACTAAGTAAAAATAAAAATGTATAGCTGAAACACTGGTAATCAGAGCTGACCAGAAATTTTGCTATTCTAAGAAACATACTCCTTATAATATAGACAGATGTCCGCTAGTAGAGTACGAATGTGTCTTTTCTGTAATAACCTGCCTCCACATCATCACCCTGCAGTCCATTGACAGCCTCTGAAGAAGACAGCACTATAAATCTGAGGAAGATCAGTTTAAATGATGCTGACCATAAGGAAAAATCAGGACGAATCATTATCTCATTGTCTTAAAGATAAATTAGTATCCTTTGCTCTTATCCTGAATGTGGACATACTTTCCCTAAGTTCCATTTCTGTTAGTAGCTACAACCAAGCTGACAAAAGAGAAAGCAAACTTATTTTCTTTATCTGCCTTTCCCAGGATCTATCTGCCTGTAAACTAATTATGAGACTCAAGATGTCTGTCTTAATGAACTTTCCCAAAGAAGCTGGGAAGAAGCTAGTAGCAAACTTCCCTTCTTGACACAAAAGAGGAGCCAATAAAAAGGAAAATAAGATTTTTTTAAATTACGGAATAGAACCTGGGACTGATACTGCCCAATTGGAAGAGAAGTATTTGACTAATCGTCCAAATATGACTTAATCAATCCAGATTTTTAACATGTCCTTGCTCCCTCCAATTTCTCAGAAACACCACCTTGGTAACCAATGCTGCTATGAGGTGAGAAAAGAGCAGGACAGAACTGAAGTAACAACCAGCTCTCTCACAGTGAGTGATTCACATCAGTATAAGTCAAGCCAAGGCAAGTCACTGCAGCAATAAACTAGTAGCATGAACATCAAAATATCAGTGAAACTCCTAAGTGAAGGAAATCTCCTCTCAAAGATAACCTTACAGAATTCAATTTTGTTCTTTCTACAGTTTCATTGTGGTATAATTGACACAAAACCTGTGTGTATTTAAGGCATACAACTTGACATTCTGATATACATATATACTATGGAATAATCACCACAATCAAGCTAATTAACATGTAAATCACCTCAATCAATCCCCTCACATAGTTATCTTTTTCTTTTGGGTGAACAAAAACAAATAAGCACTACCCTCTCAGCAAATTTCAAGTATACAATATAATACAGTATTGCTAACTATAGTTACATTGCTCTAAATCTTACTTATCTTGCACCACTGAAAATTTGTGCCCTTTGTTCAACATCAACCTGTTTCCTCCTTTTTCCAGCCCCTGGCAAACACCAATCTACCCTCGGCCTCTGAGAGAGCAAGATAAAGCTGAAGTAGCAACCAGCTCACTCACAGTGGGTGATTCATATCAGCAGCATCAAGACAAGACAAGGTAAGTCACTGCAGCAATAAACAGCAGCATGAACACCAAAGTGTCAGTCAAACTTCTAAGTGAAGGAAATCCCCTCTCAAAGATCACCTTACAAAATTCAGTTTGATATATCAAGCTTGAATATTTGAAACTGCACATATAAATGTGATTATGCAGTATTTGTCTTTCTCCGACTGGCTTATTTCACTTAGCATAATGTCCTCCAGTTTCATCCATGTTGCCACAAATGGCAGGATTTTTTTCTGTTTTAAGGCTGAATAATACTTCATTGTATATATACACCATATTTGCTTTTTCCATTCATTCATTGCTGGACATTTAGGTTTTTTTCAATATCTTCACCACTGTGAATACTGATGCATTGAACATGGGGGTGCAAATATCTCTTCAACATACTGATATTATTGCCTTTGGATATAGTCAGAAGTGTAATTGCTGGATCATAAGGCAATTGTATTGTTAATTTCTTGAGGAACCTCCTTACTGTTCCATAACAGCTGTACCAAGGTACATTCCCACCAACAGTATACAAGCATTTTCTTTACATTCTCTCCAACATTTGTTATTTCTTTTTTATGATAGCCATTAGAACATGTGTAAGATAATATGCTATTGTGGCTTTGATTTGCATTTCCCTGATGATTAGTGGTGTTGAGAACTTTTTCATATGCCTCTTAGCCACTTGCATGTCTTCTTTTGAAAAATGTATATTCAGGCTCTTTACTCATTTTTTAATTGAGTTTTTTGGCATTCTGCTCTTGAGTTGAATGAGTTCCTCATATATTTTGAATATGAATCCCTCATTAGAAATAGGACTTGACAATATTTTCTTCCATTCCATATATTGACTTTTCACTTGAATATTTCCTTGGCTGCGCAGAAGCTTCTTAATTTGATGTAGCCTTACTTATCTTTGCTTTTGTTGGCTTTGTGTTTTGTGTCATATCTAAAAATCATTGCCCAGACCAAAGTCAAAAGGCTTTTTGCCTATGTTATTTTCTAGGAGTATTATGGTTTCAGTTCTTACATTTAAGTCTTCAATCCATTTTTAGTTCATCTTTGTACATGATGAGAGATAAAGGTCCAATTTACTTTTGCCACATGCAGGAATAGTTTTCCCAACATCATTTTTTGAAGAGTCTCTCCATTTCCCATTGTTTTTATTGGCATCATTATCAAACATCAGTTGACAGTAAATGTGTAAATTTACTTCTGGGGTCTCTATTCTGTTCCACTGGTCTATAGGTTCTGTTTCTATGGTGGTACCATACTGTTTTAATTATTATATCTTTGTAATATATTTTTAAATCAGGGAGTGTGATGTCAGCTTTTATCTTGCTAAATATTGCTTTGGTTACTCAGATCTTCTTTAATTTTTCACATCAATGCTTTATACTTTTTAATGTGTAAGTATTTTACCTCCTGAGTCACTTTTATTCCTAAGTATTTTATTCCTTTTGATGTTATTTCAAATGGGCTTTTATTTCATAATTTCTTTTATGTGTCAATTTTTGTCTATGTATAGAAGCACAAGTGTGTTTTGTATGTCAAATCTGAATCCTGCAACTTAAATAAATGTATTAATTCTAAAAGTTTTTTACTAGTCATTAGGGTTTTTACATATATGATTAGGTCACCTACAAACAGATAATTTTGCTTCATTCTTTCCAATTTAGGTGTCTTTCATTTCTTTTTCTCGCCTAATAGCTCTGGCTGGGACCTTTATTAATATGCTGAAAAAAAGTTTGTCACATGGATATATTGGGTAATGCTAAGGTTCAGAATATGAATTATCCTGTTACCCAGGTAGTGAGCAAAGTATTCAATAACTTTTCAACCCTTGCCTTCCTTCCTTCCTCTCCACTTCAGTAGTCCCCAGTGTCTTTTGTTGCCATCCTTATGTCCATGAGTATCCAATGTTTAGCCACCCGTTATAAGTGAGAACATGCCATATTTGGTTTTCTGTTCATACATTAATTCGCTTAGAACACTGGCCTCCAACTGCATCTATGTTGCTGCAAAGGACATGATTTCATTCTTTTTTATGACTGTGTAGCATTCCATGGTGTATATGTACTACATTACCTTTATCTAGTCTACCACTTATGGGCATCTAGGTTGATTCTATGTCTTTGCTAGTGTGAATAGTGCTGAGATAAATATATGCATGTATCTTTATTATAGAATTATTTATATTCCTTTGGGTATATACCCAGTACTGGGATTGCTGGGTTGAATGGTAGCTCCATTTGAAGTTCTTTGACAAATCTCCAAACTGCTTTCACAGTGGCTGAATTAATTTACATTCCCATCAGTAGTGTATAATTATTCCCTTTTCTCTGCAACCTCATCAGCATCTGTTATTTTTTTACTGTTTTTTCTAACACTGCTCCAATGTGATGTAGTTTACTTTAGCCTTCTATACTTGTGTGTCTGTAACTTCCCTCTTTCTGAGAGAAACTGGCTTCCAGTACCTGCTATCCATTTACTTATTTGTTTTGAGTTTTTGTGTTTGAGATGGAGTCTGTCACCCAGGCTGGAGTACAGTAGTGAGATCTTGGCTCACTGCAACCTCTGCCTCCCAGGTTCTAGTGATCTTCCTGCCTCAGTCTCCTGAGTAGCTGGGACTACAGGTGCCCACTACCATGCCCAGTTAATTTTTGTATTTTTAGTAGAGAGGGATTTCACTATGTTGGCCAGGCTGGTCTCGAACTCCTGACCTCAAGTGATCCACCCAGCTTGGCCTCCCAAAGTGTTGGGATTACAGGTATGAGCCACCACACCTGGTCCATTTTTTTACTTTTTAATAATCATATTCTGACTGGTGGGAGATGTTATCTCATTGTGGTTTTGATTTTCATTTCTCTAATGATTAGCGATGTTGAGCATTTTTTCATATGTTTGTTGGCTGTGTGTATATCTTCTTTTGATAAGTACCTGTCCATCTCCTTTGCCCATTTTTTAATGGGGTTGTTTGGTTTTTGCTTATTGACTTGTTTAAGTTCCTTATAGATTCTGGATATTACACCTTTGTTGGATACACGGCTTGCAAACATTTTCTCCCATTCTGTAGTTTGTCTGTTTACTCTGTTGATAGTTTCTTTGGCTGTGCAGCAGTTATTTAGTTGAATTAGGTCTCACTTGTGTATTTTGTTTTTGTTGCACTTGCTTTTGGAGACTTTGTCAAAATAGTCTGATCTTCGACAATGTTGACAAAAACAAGCAATGGGAAAAGGATTCCCTATTCATTAAATGGTGCTAGGATAACCAGATAGTCATATGCAGAAAACTGAAAATTGACCCTTCTCTTTCACCATATATGAAATATCATATATGAAAATCAACTCAAGGTGGATTAAAGCCTTAAATATAAGACCTAAAATTGTAAAAATCCCAGAAGAAAACTTATGAAGTACCATTTGGAAAAGATTTCATGACAAATTCCTCAAAAACAGTTGGAACAAAAATAAAAATAGGCAAGCAATGTTTTTCTTCAATAAGCCATTTTTCTAACTGAAATGTATAAAATGTGTTTGTGGTGAGTGGGTGGAGAGCTTTAAGGAGCATGTGCTCTTCTTAAACTACTGTGTTATAGGACATTGCCATGGTCATGAGTGGCCAAAGAGGAGTTCAGACGAAGGGTTTTGGAATGAGGGTCAAACAGTCTTGAAACTGGGGTGTTGGATTGCTTTTCCTTTGGTCACCAAAGCCTCGTGTGATTATATAAGAACCTATACTGAATACAAATATAAGAATTGCTGACTCCTATGTATTGAGGGCCTGCTAATGGTCTCACAGTACTAAATATTTTACACACATTGGCTCTAATTCTGACAATTACCCTTCAAGATAGATATCACTGTCCCAGATGTATAGGCTAAAGCCAGACATTATCTGGAAAGAATTCGTGGAAGGGATAGGAAAGTTGGTTGCTTTTGTTGAATCAAGAAGCATAAAAGTAGTGTGTACTGTTTTGGTTGGATAGCCTCAGTAACAAAGACAAGGAAATAAAAGGGAGCTTCAAAATGCTGACACTGCCCCTTGGCTCTTTGGTCTAGGGTGGGAGAGGAAAAGCAGTAACAATTAGTGACACATACAAAGTAGGTGGTTTCCATGGGGCAGAGTCAAGTTTTCTTTAAGGGAATGTTAGGAAAGGTTCTCCAGAGAAAGAAAACCAATAAGATGTATATATGGAGAGACAGACTTGTTTGAAAAGACTGCCTCACATGATTGCAGAGTATGGCAAATCTAAAATCTGCAGGGCAGGCCAGCAATCTGGAAACCCAGGGAAGGGTTGCTGATGTAGCCTTGAGTCCAAGGGGGGTCTGGACACAGAATTTCTTCTTCCTCAGAAGACTTCAGTTTTTTGTTTTTTGTTTTTTTTCCTGAAGGCCTTCAACTCATTGTATGAGGCTTACTTAGATTATTGAAGGTAATCTGCTTTAGTCAAAGTCTATGAATTTAAATGTTAATCACATCTAAAAAATGTCTTCACAACAACATCTAAACTGCTATTTGATCAACAACTGGATATCATAGCCTAGCCAAATTGGAAAATAAAATTAACTATCACAGGAAGGAAGAAAGTAGATAATTAGATAAATAAGGCAGAAATATTGGGTAGAGTAAATTGAAATCGGATGAATGTCCTGGGTCAACAGATAGAATGGGTAGAAAAAATAAATGAAAGACTAAAAGCATAAAAGGATCCATGAAATGAGAGACTACAGGAATTTGCATTTTGGAGTGCCCTATGATGAGAAAGATAAGAAGCATGGTAAAATGGACGTTTCTTAAAGGGAGGGCCAAAGCTAATCTAGTGAAGTCCTGTACTATTGGAGGCCTGAGTAGATTAGTAGACTGAGTCTTTCTCATTATTGAAATGGAATATTGTAGGGCACCATTTTAATTTCTTGGAGCAGTTCTTTTAGAAGCAGAAAGGGACTAATCACCTTAGCAGCAACTCATCAATATTGGTCCCTCACTTGTGGTCAGAAAGC